TGAGATTTCAGTTCTTCCCTTACAACTGTGCTTGAAAACTAACAGTTTAATTCCAGAGGCACCGCCGTGTCGCTCTCTGGTACCATATGAAAAACTCACATCAAACACTATCAGAAAACAAAGGCAAAAGTCTATTTCCAAGTATTTTAACTGCTAAGAGAAACGGGAAACAAGCCACTCTAACTGCAAACCAGTTATCTGGACACCGAACAAGCACTCCAGAGTAACTCTTGGAGTGCTTGTTTGTAAAGTTTCCCAGTGCTGAGGACAACAGCAAGATCCCCAGGGAGAGATTTCTCATCTAGCTCTGCTGAAGAGGCTGCTGGCAACTCTGCAGACAATCCAGTGCCTCCCAGCACGGCCTTCCCCTCCCGAGCCCCCATTCAAACCATTCTCACCTCCAAAAGGTCTTCCTCCAGCTGCTGAAATTATTTCACACGGTGACTGTGAAGATGTCCTCACTGGAAAAAACAGCATTCTCCAAATTTCGGGAGATCCTCATCTCATCTGCTTCGCTTTATGTGAAATCAGGAGGATTTTGGAAGCCGTCCACCGCGTTCGGGAAAGGCTCGACTCTCCAGGTACCGAGAAATGCCAGCTTCCACGCGGCACCGAGCGTCCCGAGTTCGACAGCCTCCTTCTCAGCAAAATTAGTTCCAGTTTCTTTAGGAAAAGCCCACTGTCATCCTCAGCACTCGCCTGAAAGCTCAGTCCCCAGGCGCAGCGTAACGTTTTATTAGCAAATACGTGGGCATCGCTCGCTCTCGTTCCGAACTTGCCCATTTTCTCTTCCAACACTGTGCTCCTCGGCTGCCCATTTGAAACGCAGAGGCGTGTTATCTTCCATCGCTGCACTCAGTGTTGGCAGGGCATTAACCTCAGCTCCAAGTGTCCGGAATTGATCTTCTGCTTTCCAGTTCCAGTGTTGAGATCCCCAAATTGTTGGTCCGCAGAGACTAATTTGCCACTGAAATAATCCATTTGTCGCTGCAGGATTTTAAATCAAGGCTCCGTTTTTGCAGCCATAGGCTGTAAATGCAGTGGGACTTTTTCCATGATTATTAGTTACATCAATTTCAGAAGCTTCTCTGCATGGAGGGTCGGATGATAACACAGCCTCAGGGGCAGAGCAGGGAGACTCGAGAGGCTCAGCTAATTGGAAATTAAAGGCAAGAAAGAAATTCCTTGGACTCTTAGCCCAAGCAGATATTAAGCTTTTAGCATTTAGCAGACGTATTTAAATATAAAGGAACATCACATGGAAGCAGCCTTAGACAGACATCATCTTTCCTTTAGCTCTTACTTGCAGCTTGAGAAAAGAAGCCACCAACAAACCAACTTCACTGCTGCAGGTCCCCGGCCAGCCAGTAAACCCCACCAGCCCCGCTCCTCTGCCAACCACTACTGCACACACAACCCCAGGCAGGTGCCACAAGCAGCCCCTGCAAAGCCCACACCTGCCCCAGTATGGGCAGTTCCCAAAACTGGGTGACTATTATGCCAACCAGCTTCAAATCAGAGGCTGAGGATAATTGTTAGGGGCAGATGTGGTGGTACGTGCTGTTTCGTGATCCAAGGTGCGTATCGGTGTTTTGGAGCCAGCCCACGTGAACGCTGCAGGTGGGCAGTGCCCATCCCCATGGCCGTGCTGGTGGACACGACGTCAGGCAACGTATACCCCTGGTCCCCGCGCCAGCCTCTGAATTGCACTTGGGCAGCTGTGTGGGCTGGGAAATTGATCCACGTTAAAAATAATACAGGAAAAACAAAACAAGCTATTTTTAACCCAAGGCAGTCGCATGATCCGGAAGGCGTATCTGCGAGACGGTCCCAAAGCAAGGTGTTATTCAGCTGTTTTACAGGTGCGCACAGACAAATCATATAAGGCACTTCTGATAAATTAGTTTATTTTTCTTCATTAGTTCTTCATCTCACAACTTCAAAATCTGTACATCTTTGGGAAAGGCATGGATGTAAAATTCTTCCTAGCTATCCAGCTGTAAGCTGTTCTAATTTGCATTTAAAGCTGTGGCTTCTTCACACTAAGCTGTGATCTTTTTTATAAAAAATGGATATAAAGTAGATAATAAACAGACATCAAGTCAACTCACTTACATGGCAGCCAGCCTTCCAGTGCAAAGTTTACATGCAGTATCTATGCACTGAGAGATTATTTTAAATGAGGGATGAGGACTTTGTGCGCCGGGTAACCAGACAAACACTGTGTGCTGAGAACAGGGTGGCTTGTCCGAGCAAGTTACGCAGAGAGGGGAAAAGCAGTCTCTTCACAACTGCAAGCTGTGGAAGAGCAAAGAACAAAGTGGCAGGCAGGCAGGCAGGGGACACGGGGCAGCAGGCATCCCAGTATGCTCACGATGCACGTACTGCAAAGGCTAAGAACCCAGAAACGTGCCTGGGCTAGTGCTCAGCCAGCGAGCTGCGATCCTGCGACGCGATCTCCTAACGAGCGGCGCGTAGAAAAGACAAAGTGCTGTTACAATTCAAAGAATCACAGAATGGTTTGGGTTGGAAGGGACCTCAAAGATCATCCAGTTCCAACCCCCCTGCCATGGGCAAGGACACCTTACACTACACCAGGTTGCTCAAAGTCTCATCCAACCTGGCCTTGAACACTGCCAGGGATGGGGCAGCCACAGCTTCTCTGGGCAACCTGTGCCAGTGCCTCAACACCCTCAGAAGGAAAATTTTTTTTTTTATATCCAATCTGAATCTCCCCTCTTTCAGTTTAAAGCCATTGCCCCTTGTCCTGTCACCACACACCCTTGTCCAAAGTCCCTCTCCAGCTTTCCTGTAGGCCTCCTTTAAGTACTGGGAGGCTGCTATGAGATCACCCCGGAGCCTTCTCTTTTCCAGGCTGAACAGCCCCAACTCTCCCAGCCTGTCTCCATAGGAGAGGTGCTCCAGCCCTCGGATCATCTTCGTGGCCCTAATTCGCAGCAGACACGTTCATAACTATTTGAGGGCTGCCGGGGATTTTCAGGGAGTTGCAGTGACGGACTCCCTCCTCTGGTGGTATCTTTATCTGCTGATAACAGCCAACTGCAGGGCTCTGAACACTCCTGGGCAACAGAAGCACTAAAGCAGAGGTGGACCAGACCCAGAAAATGGGATGTTACTGGTTTTGTCCAGCCTCCTGTGCCGACAGACATGCACGATCGCTGCAGGTCCTCTTACCAGTCCTTCTCCTAGAGCACCACTGGAGAACAGGCTGATCAGAATGTCTCAAGACTTGAGCTATCCCCACTATGTCAAAAGAAGGAGAAACATTATGGATGAACTGGAAACGCCTCAATATACTGCGACGACAATTAGGAACATCAAAAGGCAGCGAAGACATTTGGACTATAAACAAACACCATTTGCAGACGTGCAGAGAGAGAGATTCAGAGGCGCTGCCGGCACATGAAATGTCGGCTGGGATTTCTGAAAGGTGGAGCAGTAAGAGCCGAGTCAAGCGTGGTTCTTATTACAATCTTATAGGATTATCCAGCTTCATAAGATATACACTAGGAATTACTGCGGAGGGGATTACAGGTAGTATAAACCACGGGAACGGAGAGAATGAGAGCGTTTGGGATTACAGGGAGGGTACGAACAAGCAGTCGAGCAGCCCGTGGCAGGCAGTAGCACAGCAGTTACACGGCAGCAGAGCTCTCAACTCATCTCAAGCCGACCCCAAGCTTTGCTTGGGAAAGAAGCGGGGCTGTTTGCAGGTAGAGAGTAGGTTGTTTTTTCCCAAGGCAGCCCAACGCCATGCAGAGAGGGCTCGTGTACTGTATAGAGCACTGGAGGGGTGGAAGTGGGGCTGTCGGTGGTGCAAACAGCCTGTTCGGGGTTGCTTCTAGCTGCTCCCCTGAAGCCCCAGAAAAACCTTGCTGTGTTTCGTTCGAGACACGTTTATTAGCAATTAACAAAGGGTGTAAAACAGGCTCGAAGCAGATGAGGAATTTGCAACATGAAATTCTGCGAAGGATCGGCACTGACCATGAACTCTGTTCAGAGAAGTGCTACACCCAGGCTGTGGAAAGTTTGCACAAGGAGAATTCCTCCGAGAGTGTATGCTGGAAACAGGGTCAAGAGTTAACATCTGATGTAAACGGGCATTTCTGAGCCTGCAGTTGGCTGGGCCCAGGTCATGAGACTAGAAGCGTGACTTAAACCATATTTGGACCCAGATTTCTGGAAATGAAGAAAACCCCTTAAATGAACAACTGACCCTCAGCGCCCTAAGAATATCCTGCACATCATCAATAAGGCAATACTTACATGAATACAATCTTCAAATTTCTTTATACCGTTACCTAGGGAATGTTTGCAGCTACTGATGGAAGGAAGGTAGGGGTGTTCTCCTCCCCGGAGCCAGCCCCTTAGTTGGGAACAGGAGGGAGCACTTGTTTGCACCCAGCGATGCACAGCAGCCGTCTGGGCCGTACAGCTGCACCCAGTACTTGCAAGTTCAGAAAGAAAGGGAAAACAAGTTGGTGTCCGAAAAGTTAACAACGGAAATCAGATGTTAAAACAACAAGTTACAAGCAAACAAAACACGGGCAGTTTGGGCAGGGTTTTCTGGCGGCTGTGAGCTTCCTGAACAGTCCCCCGTGGCTGCTGTTGGGGCATCTGAATGAGCAGGGATTGGAGACAGCAGGTAGGGTGGAAGGAGCAAGAAGAACAGCGCATCCATGGGGCTCCTGAGGTGGTGGCAGAGTTGTGGTTGTCCAGAGAGCTTTCACAGTGGAAAGAGTCTTTGCTGAAAAGTTGCCTTTTACGGAAACAGCTACAACGACTGAAGAGTACAAGCTAAACCCTGAGTGCTAGCAATATAAACACTGGCCCGTTTGGAAGAGCAAATGATGACATCATACATACATCACACCCTTCCTGTGTAAACAGGAGTGCCAGCATGAGGAGACATGCTTTGTAAATCGTATGTCTGGTTGGTTACAGCTTTTCCGTGTAGCTTTTGAGGGCTGCAGAGAAGATCAGTGAGGCCAAAAGCACTTCTTAGGATCAGACTTGGGTGGTGTCAGGCACTTCCCTAGCTTCTCACAGCCTGGGGGTGACCAATTCTGTTAAAAAAAAAAAAAAATATACAGAAAAGTTATTCGTACTGAGTACCTGCTCAGCCCTGTACTGTAACCAACCCCTTTCGATTCTCACAAAGATGCTCTTATGTCCTGCTTGAAAAATGAAACCCCTCTTGCAGCTGATGCTCTGGGGCTCATCAACTTCCCAACTCCAAACGCTATTCCAAAACAGCTTTAGGAAAGACTACAAATCCTTCTGCAGCAGATGATTCCCTCTTCTGGGATACAATGGTCTCTCCTGTACAAATGCAGTCTGCTGGGACTCCAGCGACCTTCCTCTCTTCCCTGTAGTAGCATGGAGCAAGCAGACCTTGAGGTGAAATCCCCAATTTTCCAGGGATCCAGGAAAGAGTTATCGTTCTTAGTGCTAAGATATCCATGCACTTTCTTGAGGAAACAAGCAAAAAGCATCAGAAGGCCAAGGGTGTGAGAGATAAGAACACTGGGATTTTGGAGGTTGGATTAGATGATCTCTGAGGTCCCTTCCAACCTATGCCATTCTGTGATTCTATGATTTTGATGGATGAATTCATGAACAGATGGAACAGGAGGCATTGATGAGACAACTACTCCAGTGCTTATAGACCAAAACTATTTGCCTCCCTTATTTCTTGTACTACCTTTCTCCAGCATGTGTACAACAGTTCAGCTCTGACCTATTGCCTTTCATTTTATTTATTTTTATCCTTCAAGTCGCTTACGTTTTCTTGGAATTGAATTCCTATAGAGTAAAACAAAAGCTTAACCCCAGGACAAATGCCGGAGCAGGTTCCTATTCCATGGAGCTGACAACAGATGGCAGTGAGACACCAGCTATCTCTGCAGGAGGAGCAGGCCATGGAGGGGAGCTTTGGCAGAAGGCACCTCGCTGCACGAAGGGCTCCAGACGGTTTAAGAACAATCAATACTGTTTTCTAAATCCGTTTCTCAATTTTAAAACGTGCAACCACCGCTGGAAATTTCAGACGCCTGACCACTCTGTAGAAGCACCAGAAATCCAAAGAAACAAATCAAACGTTTGTTCTTTTGAAAAAAAAAAACAAACTGTATCTGCTTCAGTCTTGCAGTCCGAGTGGGCTTTCCTGGATCCGCACCAGAAATCCAAAGAAACAAATCAAACGTTCGTTCTTTTGAAAAAAAACCAACCCCAAACTGTATCTGCTTCAGTCTCGCAGTCCGAGTGGGCTTTCCTGGATCCATGCTGTAATTCCTGAGAGCCCTGAGGACACCATGTGTGCTGCAAGTCAAACATGCAGTCAAGCCAGCACGGCTCCACGGCACGGAGCAATTTCTCCTACGCTTCCATGGGAGGCAAACACAGCACAACTGGCTCCACGGGAGCTCCATCTACACGGCTGGTGGGATACACCACAGATGGGCCAGCAAACACTTCCCCTGCTCAGGAGGGCTGATGCTGCTGCGTTTGCATCAACCCCGAGACTGCAGTAGCTACGGAACGATCCATCTGCTTTGCTTGTGTATAAGTAAAGACAATTCTCCTCTGTCCCAGAAAGGATATTAAATGCCCATATTGAATAAATAGAATTTAGAAGACAGTGTTAGGCATATTATTAGTAGGTGATATTTATCTCCCACCATCCCCTAAAGACAGATTTAGGGCCCAATCAACCGCAGCAGTACTATCACTCCAAAAAGATTTGGTTATCTTCATCTCTGGTCTCAAAAGGCGATAATTTGATGCCAGTTTATTTTAGTTTTGTGACAGTGTAATTGGCCTGTTAGGAGTTTACATAGAATGGAAAGCTCATAATCTAAAAAAGTTGCCTGCTGGGATTTGAACATTTCTCCTGGGATTAGAACACCCCCAGCCCACCAGGGAGGGCTTTCTGCCTCAAACAGCCTGAATGGTCTGGTTTGAGCTTGGCCAAGCATTGGAGCTGTCATCAGCTGCCTCTGCTTACAGACCAGGCAGGCCCAACTGGGCTTGGCCAAGCCCTGGACATGGTCATAGCCAAAGCAGAAGTGGCAGCCCATCGTCTGCAAAACTTCTACCCAAATGAGAGAGAACAAGGCACGCTCAGGGAGAAGACTGACTCTGAATTGTCCCGTACCCCAGCCCTCTCCTCGGGGCTCAGTACGGGACCTCCAGTCCAGCACTTTTTCCATTATGCAACCCAAAGACACTGTTTGTTGACAAACAGGGATGCCAGATGTTTTCACAGCACCTAAACACACTGCACCAGGGTAGGCACAGAACAGCGGAGCACGCCTACGATTTATGAACCAGTTTTGGAGTGGGAGTTAGCACAGAAGAAATGCCTTTCCAGTGAAGGTCTCTGGCAGCAGCCAGGCACTGGGGAGAGTGCCTGAACCCGAAAGGTCCCAGAGGAGCACAGAACAGTGTTTATTAAGGGAAAAGTTGAATAAGGAAAGAAAACAACACAGAAACAATGGTCCTTCAAATGTTTTTCCTACTTAACATCCAAAAATAAAAAGATGTGACAAAGCTAAAAAAGATCTTTGCCTTCTTACAAAGGAGACGCAGCTCCACATTTTATACTTTTCTGGCTGGCTGGAGATAGTCCCTAAGTAGCAGGTACTGACTGTTTCAGAAGATTATTTCAGCGTCAGAAGGATTTTGCCTGTTACTATTTTGCGTCAGTCCACAGGCACATCCCCTTAGACTACACAAACTCTTGTCATCTGACAACTTTACCTCCTACAAACTATCCGGTTTCTTTCCCAGGTTCTTAACAAACCAAGCAGCATCTGACAGGAAAGCCAAACTGTAACTTCCTAACATGCAATTTGAAACAGAAAACAGAATTGAAACTGTTTGTCATGCTTCAAGCCATAAAGACTTTGGAAAAGTCAAGCATGGGTGGAATTGCCATAAAGACTTTGGAAAAGTCAAGCATGGGTTTGGAATTTGAGGAGACTGAGCAAGACCAGAGATACTCACACACATCACTGAAAAAAGAGCCACTGTCCCAGTCCTACCACTCAAAACACTGAGGACTTGAGATTTGCAAAAGGGGATTAGAAAGGAGAAGGATCTACAGCTGTAGATCCTGCCATATCTCTAAGGAAGGAAGCCACAGGGTTTACCAGAGCATGTTGGTAGACTTTCCAGACCTAACCCACTCACTTTGCATGAGCTTTCCCAAGCCACTGCCTTCAACAAACAGCCCTCTCCTCTGTGGAACTGCCAGGCAGCCCTTCAAATGGGCAAGAGTGTATCTCTTCTCCATCCCTTCCCAGCATTAGGTGACATTTTTAAAACCTTTACAAAATATGTTTTGAGCTAAGGATTCTCAAAGGTATTTATGCTTTAATCACTCACCATGATGGCCTTGTCGCACACGTTAAGCTGTGGCTCCCCTGGCACCATGGTCACTTTGTGCTGCTGGACAACGGCAGATATTTGCCCCAAAACCCTTTGGTATTCATCGCTGGCAAAACTAGAACGTGAGAAAAAAACATAGAAGTTATTAGTGGGGCTTCATGCACAGCATCATTACAGTGTCCACATCACTAAGCTAGGTCAGAAGACTTCTCCTGGGCCACAGAGGAGGAGGAAGAGCATGTAAACACACAGTCGACACTAACTGCCCACGGGTCTGTAGGGGAATGAAGCATCTGGGCTGCTGGAGTCCAGCCCAGCTGGGCCTGGAGGCTGCGGGTCTGAGATGCTCTGCTCAGGGCAGCAAGGACGGCAGGTGGCCTGCTGTCCCCGGCAAAGCAGCACGTGGCTCCTGGCATGGGGCTTCAGCTTGGAAAATTACTAGTCCCAGTAGCCCCAAACGTGTCGCTTCGTAGTCAGGCAGATACTTTCCAAGGAGGAAAGGTGGCACATACGAAGGACGGTGCTTCTGGGGTTGTCCTCAAGCTGTGCCTTAAATAGTTATCAAGGGAGACTTCCAAGGCACAGGACAAACTCCTCGCTAGACACATTAGCACATAAACCAAGAGGTCACCCAGCTCTCCGCGCGTTCATCCTCTGCTCTTTCAAAAAGTGCTTTTCTGCAGCACGTGCATCACGCACAGGTGTTTATTGCAGGGAAACGAAGGTAATGTCAATACTTTGTTTTTCAAGAGTGTTCTCAAGCTAAGGGTTTCAAATAAAACCGTTGGCTGGTAAAACTTCACAATCACCAAGTAAGATGAACTAATATTATGCAAACAGGAAGATGGAGAAGAAGAATAGAAGTGTCTTGTCCAAGACAAGAATACCTCCTCCATTTCGCAACATCCACCCTGAGGTTCTGCCCCATCTACATTCTTCCATTCCAGCTTTATTATTCCAAGCTGGGACCCATCTGTCATGCTCCAAGCCCTCATACAGGGTTATAAATTACCAGATTTTTATCCACCCGATTACTCCAGTAGGTACTTGTTTAAGTGGTTCAGAGTGTACTTCACTAATACCTCAAGTATTTCTAAAATGGAAGATTACGACCCCATGATCTCATTTTGTCCATCACATTAAGAGTCACTTAAAAACCAGAGAGCGGCAAATTGCTTCTGAAGATAAAAGAAACAATGCAGCTCGGTCCTGACCTCAGGCTCCCTTTGCTTACAGTCCAAGCTGGCCACCAGCCCCACACTCCAGCTCATTTCCTTCTTTGAAAAACAATCACATTTCGAAGACCAGTAACGTGCCAACAGTTTCCAGTAAACCCTATAAATATCACATCTCGGCAACCATCCAGAGAGAAGCTGATTGTGGGGATGGGCCTGAGCTTTGCTGATAGAGAACCGGAAGGGAATGTGAAATGACAAGCTCGAGCAAACTAATCTGTTGCTCTCACACCCAGCTAGCTGTATCCTGGTGGACAGGCTATCGCCGGGACCGCCTGTGTGATCCGTACGGACCACCCTGAAATTCAGGCTATTCTTGCAAAGCTCCCGAATTTGCTTTCTCCTCTCCCTGGCACATCCCACCTTCGCTCTCACAGCAGCCCGCTGCTTATTCCTGCGCTGCCCCAAAGGCTCTGCTGCAGACGGCGGGACGGGCAGAAATTTGGGAGCTGCCAAAGCCCAGCTCTGACTCAGACCCCGATGAGGACACTCAGCCATCGCTTGGCGCAGCCAGCCTTGCATCCCGGTGGCACAACAGCCCTTCAGTTTGGCGAGATTTTATCTGGAAGCCCTCTGGTCGCATTTCAAGCAAACAGGATCGCCAGCCCAGCGGCAGCATGCTTGAAAAAAAACCCCAAAATAATAATCAAAGCAGATTTTTAAAAGAGGCAGAGAGGTTTAAAGCTAACCGGTGTTGACGTGCGGAGGCAGCGAACGCGGGAGAGCCTGCACGGGGGAAAAAGCTGCCGAGACAAACACTCCGCAGGCGAGTACCAGGGATGTACACAGCACACTGGACATCCGAGCTGGAGACGGGATGAAATGGGGGAGCCAGGAATGTTTAAAGGCTCCGAAGTCTAGTGATGGAAACGGAGGTGAAACGCAGTTTAGGGAGGCGTGTGTATTTCGGAGTTTTAGATTTCTAACGTGCCTGTTGTGCCAGGATTTGAAAGCTCTTCCAAACTCAAGCTAATCACACTTCATTAAGATCCTCGTATTAAGGATTAATATGAATTAATACGTATTTTAATCAATTGTTAGAGTCTAACAGATACTCTAGATATCAAATCATTTAATGCCTCCTGCTGCTGCTCTCGTAACTACCTAATGTGTTTATTTCTGTCACATACCTCGTGTCATCTCTCCAGCATTTAAGATCTTCTTTTGGAGTGGACTCATAAGATAAAATGCTGCTGCTAAGTATGCTCCACAGCATCTTTGCAAATATTGAAGTGCTAAAGAGAGAGCCCAATTTCATCCATTGAAATGGCTTTTCATACGTAGGATTCCAAATTAGCTATAATCTGGACAGAGCAGCGGAAAACACAGCTGTGGTCTGGATGAAAGATAAACAATACGTTGTCACAACTGCTGCTTTTTGCTCCAAATATGCCAGTCCTGTTGCAGTGGAAAAAAAAAATATCTTTTTGCTATAATCTTAACTACTGCATTTATCCACGGCATCGTTGCTCATTAGCAACCTAAGCCATGTGAATGCTGCAGTGTAACAAAGTAGGCTCGAGTCGTTTAAATCATCTTCTTGCTTTAATTCCCATGTTCAGGGCACTCCTGGCTTTTTCAGCCAGCTCAGCAGTGACAGGAAATCTTGGCCTAACCTCGGCTCCTGGTGGTTTTGAACTGCTCTCCCCTGCAGCTTCTACACTTTCAGATTATTTCAGCACTTAGCATCGGCTGAACGACTTCCCCAAAAGCATGATAGAAACGGCTCGGCACGTAGAAGAGACTCTTGCTTCTCACGTTAAGTACAAAGCTGGCTAAAGCTGAAGAACACAGATAGATTATGCTCCAAGTCATACCCCTACCCTATAAACCTTGTCTTGGTAGGGCTTAACATGCTCTTAAGCTGGCTAAACCTGCCGACGCTAGCTTAAAACACATCCGATCGCAGCTGTCTTCCTTGTGTTGAAGTACACGACAGTGACGGACTGCGAGTGCTTCAAGGTGTCATTCAATACTGGAAGATCACAGAATCACAGAATGGTTTGGGTTGGAAGGGACCTTCAAGATCATCTAGTTCCAACTAGATGGGCAGGGACACCCTCCACTACACCAGGTTGCTCAAAGCCTCATCCAACCTGGCCTTGAACACTGCCAGGGATGGGGCAGCCACAACTTCTCTGGGCAACCTGGTCCAGTGCCTCAACACCCTCAGAGTGAAAAATTTTTTTCTTATATCCAATCTAAATCTCCCCTCTTTCAGTTTAAAGCCATTGCCCCGTGTCCTGTCACCACACACCCTTGTCCAAAGACCCTCTCCAGCTTCCTTGTAGCCCCTTCAGGTACTGGAAGGTGCTGGAAGGTCTCCCCGGAGCCTTCTCTTCTCCAGGCTGAACAGCCCCAACTCTCTCAGTCTGTCTCCATAGCAGAGGTGCTCCAGCCCTCGCATCATCTTCATGGTCTCCTCTGGACCCACTCCAACAGCTCCATGTCCTTCTGATGTTGGGGACCCCAGAGCTGATCGCAGCATCACAGATTGTCTTCAGATGCCTCAATTGAACGCATGAACTATCTTCCTCATCCAGATGTGCATCAGGTCTCCATGCATAGCAGGGCACTGCCACGCCTGCAGGATGGCACCAGCCCCCATGCTGGCATTCACATGAAACGAGTCACCCACTGAGACAAATCGGTGCGTTCTGGTGAGGGTTGATTTTCCTGCCTGGGCCCCATGGAGATCCCTATTCCTCACTCTGAGCAGCTCAGGTTTTGCTCAGACAGACCTTTCTAGCTGCACAAAGCGCACCACGGTCCAATATCCATTCAGCGACTCGTAAAGTATTTACTGACTGCACACAGCGGGGTAGAACTCTCTCCAGCCCTATGCAAGAAGTGCATTTTGAGACAAAACCTACAAGAGAAGATGGAGATAATTACTTCACGGTAATTAGTCTGGGTTGTTAACGGAGCTGGGAACCTCTCTTACTCTTACATGGAGTCCCATCAGTTCCCTGAATGCATGTGCAGGACTGGGCTGGGAGGGCAGGGTTTGCTGCATTCTCTGTTCAGAAAAAAAAAAACAATATTATCTGTACAGGTGTTTGGGCATTATTGTCTGCACGAAGATCCAGACCTCGCCGCCTCCGGGGCATGCTGCATTTCGTATGCTAGTTCAACAATCCTGCAGAAGGAGAGCTGGGAATAGCACTGGAAGAATGAGAGGGTGAGCAGGTGGTGTTGTGAGGAGTTTGCTAAAAGAGATCCCTCAGCGTCCGTGAAATTATTCCACGCTCAGAATGAGCGAACGGAGTGGACAAAGTCCAGGGTCATTACACTAATTGACACTTTACCTCCGGGAAGTCTCTGGAGATCCAATCAAGGGCTGGCTTTGGAGCGCAGGGTCCCAGGCACAGGTGTGGCCCGTGCTTCCTTCATTTAGTGTAATTGTGCCTTGGCAATCTGTTCCCATCGCCTCCCTCGGCAAACAGCTCCGGTGTAACCTGCTCTGCTATTAACCCCACCGTGCCCTGCACCGAAACGCAGGTCTGGAAGAAGGAGGGTTTGTCTCACACGCTGCTTTCCGTGTGGGAGCTCCTGTTTAATGGTGCAGTCGTCGGAGACTTTCACCTTCAGGTCTGCGAGCACCCTGAGCTCCAGGGAGGGGGAGAGGGCGATTCTCCACCATCATAAATACACCCTCAAATAGAAACACAGCAAATCAAAGAGCATTTTCAGCATTTTTTAAAAATCTAGATCTTAGAATCATAGAATGGTTAGGGTTGGAAAGGACCTCAAAGATCATCTAGTTCCAACCCCCCTGCCATGGGCAGGGACACCCTCCACTACACCAGGTTGCTCAAAGCCTCATCCAACCTGGCCTTGAACACTGCCAGGGATGGGGCATCTACAACTTCTCTGGGCA